CAAACTGGCCTTAAGTGGCGGAGCTCGAGCCGTGCAGGTGCATTCAGACTCACAATAGGTGGTGGGCCAATTCCAGGAGGGGTTCGAGGTCCGGGAGGAAAGGATGATGAAGTATGTGGAGGAGATAAAGAAGCTGCAGGGAGAGTTTGATTCCTTCGAATTAATCCAAATACCTCGAGGAGAAAATGGTCGAGCGGATCTGTTGGCTAAAATGGCACAAAGTCTGGTGGACTACAAGAGCAGAAGTGTGACCTTGCTGCTCATGGAGAAGAGTGTGGTCGAGAAGGAGGTGGTCGAAATAGAAGAAGTGGAGGATTGGAGGGCGCCGATAATGAAGGAACTAAAGGGAGGAGCGGTTAAAGTGATAAGAAGATTCTTCGAGCATGGAGGGATTCTCTACAAAAGGTCGCACGCAGGCCCCCACTTGCGATGTGTAGCCGGGGAAGAGGGGCGATATGTGTTGAAGGAAATTCATGAGGGTTGCTGTAGTGACCACAGCAAGGCAGGTTCCTGGTAGCAAAGGCTCTAAGAGCAGGATATTTCTGGCCGACGATGAAAGAAGATGCCAAGGAGATGGTGCGGAAGTGTTTGCAATGCCAGAAGCATGGCCCACTTATTCACCAGCCAGCCGAAGCCATGACAACAATGAGTTCTCCCATCCCGTTCGCCCAATGGGGGATCGACCTGGTGGGGCCCATGCCCCAAGGAACCGGACAGAGGAAGTTCTTGTTTGTCGCGGTCGATTATTTCACGAAGTGGGTGGAGGCTGAGCCCCTGGCAAAGATGACGGAGGAGAAAGTGATACATTTCCTATATGATAACATATGTTGCAGGTTCGGAGTTCCTAAAGTGTTGGTGTCGGACAATGGGACACAGTTCAACGGCAAGAGGATTCGGGCATGGTGCGAGGACATGAAAATTGATCAACATTTTGCTTCAGTTGCACACCCGCAAGCCAACGGGCAGGTCGAAGTGACCAACAGAATTATATTGAATGGTCTGAAAACAAGGTTGGAGAAAGCATCGGGAGCGTGGGTGGACGAACTTACTTCGGTGCTATGGGCGTACAGAACGACTCCCCGATCGACCACTGGGGAAACACCGTTTAGTATGGTATATGGCATGGAGGCGTTATTACCGATAGAGGTCGAGGTTCAGTCCCAAAGATCGAGCACCTATGATCGAGAACAGAATGAACGGCTGATGATGGCAGCGCTCGACACAATCGAAGAGCTTCGAGGAAAGGCAACAATCAGAGTCGAGGCATACAAACAAAGGATGCGAGCAGCGCATGATAAAAAAGTGAAAACACGAAGATTCCAAGTGGGTGACTTGGTGTGGAAGAGGGTCGATGTTCTGAAACACATTGGGAAATTAGAGCCAAACTGGGAAGGACCATACCTGGTCGAAAAGGTCAATGCTGGAGGAGCATACTCTTTGAAAGATGTTGAAGGAAGATCCCTAGCCAGGTCATGGAATGTGGCTAACTTAAAGAAATATTATGCTTAAAATTTTTTCTTCTTTACTTATTACCACCGGTGTAATCAAATGCTTTGCTCGATAATGAATGAAATGGCATATTGAAATTTCTACAAGTTATTATTTACCAAATTAAGCTTATATGGTCGGAATCCTGGGATTAACCTTGGTGACAGGCGGTACGTTAAAAATCCATCATGATTAAGGCCACGAGGCTGGATGGTCGTATATAACGACCACCTCTTTGAAGGTGGGCACGCGTTCGAGCAAAAAATCCATCATGATTAAGGCCACGAGGCTGGATGGTCGTATGTAACAA